CGCACTGGTGGGTCTGGGCTGGTTTCTCCCTTGTGTCTGACCCCACACGCTCGCTGGCTGCGGTCCTTCTGCCCGAATCCCTGGAGGTCTTGCTTTTGTTCGGTGGTGCTCACAGACAGGTGTCAGCTCTGCCTTTTGCTCCTTATTTTGAACCTTTCACAGCTACATTTTTGCCTCTCAGTTAGAAAAGTACCCAAAAAGGAAAAGGACTGCACGAACAGAGCAGTTTGTCTGTCCTCTTGCCGGTGCTGCGCTCCTCTAACCTTGTGGTTCTGTTTTTCTTTCTCTTCTCAAGAAAGAGAAATCCAAATCTAGCAGCAGCGCTGCCCGAGAACCCAATGGCTTCCCAGCCGACACCTCTGCCAACTCCTCTCTCCTCCTGGAGTTCCAAGGTGAGTCTGGCTGAGCTGAGGAAAGACTCTGAGGCCTTACAGAAGCTGGGATGTTCCTGTCTTATGTCTGCTACGTGTATTGGGAAGAGCAGCGCATGTCTTCAGCGCAGGGTTGTGCGGATGCAATTCTGGACTGTCCCTGCTGAAACTGTACATTTTTGCTGTCAGAAAGAATCTTAATTGGCTGCTTCTGGGATCTTCCTCTGGGAAGATTCATGGGGAACTGGAGGAGTGGGGGTTTCCGTTCCCACTTTGCAGAGGCTGGTAGCTGCCTGCAGCTGAACCCCCTGCTTCCCGCAGTGACTTGGATGGACCTTAGGATGAAAGGGCAGGGGATCTCCTTGGCCTGGCTTTGGATCCTGGAGTGCTGCAGCCAGCTGTGAGCAGGCTGGCCTTTGTGGTGGATGGTGGAGCTGAGCAAGGCTCGGGCAACGCATGGACTCGCTGCTGAAGCAGAGCATATGCCTGTCCCCAGCCTCTTCACTTGGCTCTCGGAGTGGCCAAGGAAAATCGGGGAATGTGGGGGCACTTCCAGTAGACGTGGTGAGAAGGTTAGTGTTACAGGTCTGCAGTTTAGGACTGCTTTATCTGGAAAAGGTGTGTGCTGGGATTGCCGCCTCTTCTGGAGGCAGGTGCTGAATGTTACTCTTGCTGTTGGGTTGCTGCCCCGTAAACATAAGCGGCGCAAAACCCTGCTACACAGGCGAGAGGTCTCCTGCGCTCGAGCTCCCAGCTGCCTGGGGCCCTCGCAAGCTGCAGACATGAGATCTGGCAGTGCAGCGCTTTGTATCGACCCTGTGCCTTCTGCTCATTCATTCTGAATAACACAGGGTCACTCTGCTCAGACTCAGTCCCCAGGCAGAAGCACCTCCTCTGCACCAGCTGTGTCCCAGCGGGGAGTCCGGTGCCCAGCAGCACTTAGGCTGATGGGTGACAGCGAATCCCCCCGACTCAACTGCCTCTGACTGTGCTCTTCCTTCTCCCTAAGACCCCGGCTGCCTGTGCCCCTGGGTCAAGGTGCTCTTCTTCACTAGGTGCTGTTTCTGCAGATGAGAACAGTAACCAGAGCTCCCTGTCAGACGTCTACCAGCTCAAGGTGGACAGCAGCCCCAACTCCAGCCCCAGCCCCCAGCAGAGCGAGTCCATGAGTCCTGGCCATACGTCCGACTTCCGCACGGACGACTCGCAGCCACCCACACTGGGGCAGGAGCCGCTGGAAGGTGGGTCCTGGGCTGGGAAGGGTGGAGGTGGATGGCTGGACCCCAGGCAGGCCCTGCTGGAGCTGTTGCTCACCTGGTGGGTGACTGAGGCACTGCTGGAAGTGGACAGGGCGGTGGAAACCAGTGTCTTCTGCTGGAGGTCTCCTTTCCTGGCTCGGCACCGAGCTCGGTCCTGCTGTGCTCCTGGGTCAGCAGTTTCATTAACTCTTCTGTTGTCCCCAGAGCCTTCCCTGCCTTCCTCAGAAGTTGCAGATGAGCCTCCCACTCTCACAAAGGAAGAGCCAGTGCCCCTTGAGACTCAGGTAAGGGAAGGGGGATTGAAACCACATGTAAATGCACATGGACCCAGCTCAGCCCTTTCACTCTCGTTGCTGCCCCTTGTAGCAGAAATATTTCAACAGATGGACTTGCTCTGCAGTCCCAAGGTGCCCTCCGGGAGCCCCCCAAACCTCCCGGCTTCCCGAGCTGCCCCCTGGTTCAGTTCAGGTGTTAAAAGTGCGAAGAAAAGATGTGGAGGTGGAGTACAACAGTGATTCTGGCTGACTTCAGGGCTGAAGTGGATTCTCGCTCCTGGTGTCCTCAGACTTCCTCAGAGAGGAAAGCCCAGAGTGTCCCCACAGCATGACACAGCCTTGTCTAGCAGGTCCACGTGGGCTGGTGGGCATGCTGAGCTCCTGCTGCTGCCCGTGACCTCTTCCTCTGGCTCTTGCAGGTAACTGAAGAGGAGGAGGACTCCGGTGCGCCGCCTCTGAAGAGATTTTGTGCTGATCAGAACTCAGTGTGCCACACGGCCTCGGAGAGCTA